AAAAATTGTACTGAATCATTTATATGAAACTATTTATGGTCTATCCATGTGGCTAGCCTGAAGCATTACCACATGGAAGACTTGGGTCCAATTCCTGGTTTTTCTCTCCTTGGAAATCCAGCAGAGGCAGCACATTCTTTCCTTGGGGGGAGAGAATACCTTGTGGTGCTCAACAGTACCTGACGGAAGAGTGTTGCTGGCTGTAAATGGAGATCTTTCTAGGCTTCCTCTGTCAGAAGAATGATGGAGTCAATAAAATTTGAGGCTGTCATAAGTGGGAAAAGGGAGATCCCTCACTGCTTACACAGAGAGTGGGAAGAGTAGCCCTCCCCCCACCAAAAAAAATTCAGGATATCTTGAATTAAACTTCTGTTTCCTGTTTGCTTTACAGCTCTGCAGTTTTTCCAGGGATCCTAGCAGAGCTATAACATTTTCATTTTGTTTAAGGAGTAAAGTTGACATTGTAAAATGTAAAGTCTACAGCAATAGTCTTGGAATGTTTCTTATTGATCTGAGCAGGCACACCAGACAATTCTGACAGATTGCTCCCTTTTAGGCCTCAATTGGATGAACCAGTCCCATTGTATGAAGCCAAAGTTTCTATGGAAATAGTTCAGAAGAATCAAGCAAGAAAAAGACAAGTCATCCAATTCTGAAGCACAATTTCCTTGTTTCTAAGACTGGGAGACAGAGATATGTAATATATTTGAGAAGTAAATTGGTGTGCAACTTCAAATAGTTCTGAAGATAGTGTCTGGGCTGTGAATGTTTTGGTACTGAGACTTTTAGTTTCCCTGTATCAAATCTAATAGAATGATTCCATCAACAACTTTAAAGAGATACCATTAACTTAAAAATCACATCTGTCTGATTTTTCCTCCTATTACTGTTATAAGTAACATCTAAGATTAGAGGAAAAAATATTTTTTCTGATTGTTCAGTTTTATTTTTTGTATTCAACACTATCTGAATAGTCTGCTTCAGTCTTTGACATACTCTTTTTAAACAGGGAAGAGAAAAATATAAGAAAATGTAGTAGTAAAACTAGCAAAATTGGCAGAGGGATTCTAGGGGTAGGCACAACTTGTTTGTAACAAGGTTGGGGTTTTTTTGTTTTTTGGGGGGGGGGTTCAAACTGATTTGTTTTCAAGTTTATTGTGTCCCTTTAAGATTTGAATTACTGTTCTACAACCATTTCATAACATCACACTTTTATATAGCTATAAAATTAAGGTAGACAAAAGTGAATGAAAGATTACGCAGATATGAGGTCAGTCTTTCGCTTTAGTGTTCAATTCTTGTTAATGTTCAATGCACTTTATTGCACATAGACTTTGTTCCTTTTTATATGGCTAAAGAGTAGGAAATGTAAACTGGATTTCCATCTCTGACATCATTCCTAAAACACCTTCTGTGTTCTTTCGTTTACACCCTTTCACTTTTGCTCTTTAAGATTAACTAGTCATATACTAATGTTCATGAGATCAGCTTGTCCAACATCATTCTCCTTTTTACCACCACACACACCAGCATCCATCCTCAAGGAAAAACCTACAGCTCTTTCAATGAGTCCTACAGCTTCACTGCTTGTTACTGCTTGAGATCTGAAGCCATTAATAGAGCAGTTGGGTACAATCTAAATCACTGTTGGAGGGGATGGTTCAAAGTGTGAGCACTTGCACTTTGAAATCTAGGTATTATATTGTTAGATTTAATCCTGAGTAACAGCATTCAGTGTTGTTGTAGCTGTGTTCGTCCCAGGATATTAGAAAGACAGGGTGGGTGAGGTAATATCTTTTATTGGGCTAACTTCTGTTGGTGAAAGAAAGAAACTTTCGAGTTGACATAAAACTGTTCTTCAAATCTGGGAATTGTTTTGTTTTTTCCCCCCCAGACCTGAAGAAGAGCTCTGTGTAAGTTCAAAAGTGTCTCTCTCTTACCAACAGAATTTGGTCCAATAAAAGTTATTACCTTACCCACCTTTTCTCTCTACTGTACCTTAACAGTATGTCAATTTACCTTGGTATGCTGTTTTTCTAGTCACTGGGATTATCGCATGTCCTCAGTAAATCACATAATGCAGGTTATAAGAAGTACGAAAAAAATCTAATTTTTCCGTTTGTGATATAATGCAAGCTTGAGAACAGGTACTGTTTCATACAGAACATACACATATAAAATTACATTAAGGCATTGATCTCTCTTATTTGAAATCAGTCTTGAACCCATGGTATATCCAGCAGTGTATTATATTTATTATTTATTCTCCTGTCACTTTCATTTCAGTTTCAGTGCCTACAAAATAAAAGGAGAGAGAATAGAGGGAATGGAAATAAAAATGTAATGACAAAGATGGAATCGGTTTAACAAAACTAGAAAAGTAACAATAAAATTGCAAAGGGAAAAAAGAATTGAGAGACTTCTAGGTCCTAGAACTATCAGTCTGATTATTTTTTTTACCGTACTCTGTACATTTTGACTGTTGGTCTCATAAATGGGGGGAAAGCATTTTGCAAATTGTTTTGGTGAATTTGAATGAACTAGGTCCATTGCATGACGGCATAGTCTCCTTGACATTTCCTCCACAGCCCCACACACTGTAGGAGTGGCATGCCAACATGTATGTCCTTGGAAACTTTTAAAGCAGTAAGTGATGGTTAGAGGGTATATGCATGTCCCTCAAACCCTACATACAATAGACTGATGGTATAAATGCCCCACCCCTTTTAACTATCCCTTAGTTCCTCTCTCCATCAACATGAGCAGTTATGAAATTAATTCATTCTCTTTCTCTATGGAGTGTTAGCTTAGATACACTTATATAGAGCCTAAAATTAGTCTAAAGCTATTCGTGTAGACTTATGCCAAGTTTTTCAAAAATAGGAGCCAAAAGCTAGGCTCCTAAATCCATATTTAAACATCTGAATAAAGAGACCCGATTCTCAAAAGTGTTGAGCACCCAGCAGCTCCTGTTGTCCTCCCTAGAAAGTCTCTTCCAGTAAAGAAGAAGAAGACTCCTAAAGGGATTTTTCAGCCTCGTCTAGTCTACTAAGTCAGAGTGCTGCCAGATATGGATTTGGACACTTTCTTGGGGGGAAGAACCGGTTAGGCTTCTAAGCTGCTACTTCTCCCACAGCTCCTGATGAGGCTGGCTTGACTGCTTTCTCCTCTCTTGTGAGTGCAGCAGAGCCTTCTAAGATCTGGTAGGCAGAATGGCATCTGCTTTGGATATTCATCTAGCAGTTTTGGTCAGCACAACACACTTGCTTTAGTCTGTCCAAAGAAGTGTTGAATTCATCTGTCTCTGTGGCCTCAGTCTCTGGATAGCTGTAAGTTTTTTGACACGGTGATAAAAATGTCTGCATTGGGTCTACACTAGCTCACTCCACAACAGTGCAGTGGCACCAGTGCTAAACTAATGCCAGGAAAAACACTTGGGAAGACAAGGCCCAGGTGTGAAAGACTCCTCCCTGTTCTATCCCTTTAGATAACATTTCTGCTTCTTTTAGCATATATCATTCTAGTAAACATGTAAGGCTACTGTGTAAATAGCCTGTAATTAATGGCTTTGATATATCTTCAAATAAATCTTTTTTTCCTCTGTATTACTCTTATCTACATATTTTTCCTTGGGCAAGAGTGATCTGTCTTCCTAATATCTTTAAAGAGATTATCATTAATATTAGGGTGGGTTGGACTCTTCACTGGAATGGAAAAAATTGGTGCAGTTTGGAAATATAGTCTAAAGTCAGACAGAGAACCGAAGGAGTGTAACAGGAGCAGATCAAAATAGCTTGTGCTGGTGAAAAGCGGAACCCAGATTCGCCCTTTGAGTACCATTACATATATAACAAGCAAAAGGAGTAGTAAACAGCTGCTACTTAGCCAGTACCTACACAGTATTTGTGGTTGAATAATATAAGAACACAAGTGTATAGCCTCCTATTTTAATATCTGGTAGACAATTTTTCCCTCTACCTTTGATTACAGCCTGTTTCCTTTGGTGCTTGATGTGGGTAGGAGACCTTCCTTCTTTCAAAAGCTTAATTGGGCTCACATTCTGCCCATCTTGTTTGAAGCATTTGGAATTTTCCAGACTCCCATTATCAGATAAATACAGCTGCTGCCCACGCCATGCCAACCATTTTATTTACATATTGGATAAATGTGTATTGTTGCAAAATAGCATCTTGGTACTTTTAGTGATTTTTTTCCCCCTCCCAGTTTTGACATCAGTCCTACAGCACTCCCTGTAAGTCAAAAGCGTAAATGTATAGACATTGATTCCAGTTTGAAATTGCAAATTATTTTTCTCAAAATCATTCTATTTATATTTTAAATTACCTCTTTGTGAATACTTTTTGCAATAAAAGAAGAGTTCTCACTCCCCTGTCAGGACATGATTGGTGTGAGTTATAGGTGTGTGATACTAACAGGACTGTGCATACAGTGAGTATAGTGTATGTAGGAGTGCAGGTTTGGCATAAGGTACACTGTGTGTGTGTGTGTACTGTATGTACCCTGTGCAGATGGTATATGTATGGGTGGCAGAGAAGTGAGGTGCACATATGATGTGAATATACAATGCACGTAGGGTGACTAGATGTCCTGATTTTATAGGGACAGTCTTGATTTTTGGGTTTTTTTCTTATATAGGCTCCTATTACCCCCCCCCACCCCGATTTTTCACACTTGCTGTCTGGTCACCCTAAATACACGCAGATGGCCTGGGTGTATGCAAGATTCAAATTAGGGGGTATACTGTACACCTTACCCCCAGCCACTGTTCTGTGCGCCAGGGTTTAAGCTTTAATTCGTTTAGAAAAGCAAGTCTCTAAATCGTCTGGATGCAAAGAAAACTTTCAAACGTGAACCAAATGTTACTAGTGCGATGGTGTCCGCCCGCGTCCGAAGGCAGTTCTGGGAGACGTGAGGGTCGGTGCTCACGTCAGCAGCGCGGGGCCCCGAGGGAGGCTCGAAGGCGCCGGTCCGCCCCGGGGCGGGGCTCGCCGCTTTGCGCGCCAGAATTCGGAGAGCGGAGCCCGGCTCCCGCCAGCGCCCGGCCCGGCCCGGCCCGGCCCCACCATGTGCGCCGCGGTGCCCGGCTACTCGCCCGGCTTCAAAAGGCCGCCGGAGACGCTGCGGCTGAAGCGGAAAAGGGCCCGGAGGAGCGAGGCCGCCTCCCCGCCTTGCCCCCAGGCGGACCCGGCCGCCGCCCCGCGCCCTTTCCCCAGACCGGGGCGGCGCAATCCCTTCTCCAGCCTGGACAACGCGCCGCGCCCCGGCACCGCCGTACACCGCCCGCCGGACACCCCCGAGCTGCAGGAGCAGCGGCCCCCGCCGGGGAGCCAGGCCCCCAGACCACCCCCTCTGGCAGGTACCGACCCGCCCGCGCTACGGGACCCTGGCGGACCCCCGCCCCCGGGGGCTTGGCTGGGTGGGGTCGGGTTTGCTCCGCAGCCCCTCTAGCAGAGGGGGGAGCGCTAATAGGGGCGGTGTGGTCCAGTGGACAGAGCAATGGGCTGGGACTCAGGAGACCGGGTTGTGTTTCTGGCATTGTCACTAATAGGGGCCCACTGGTCACTGCACCCCGCTGAGCTTTGGGTCCCCCCTCAGTAGGGTGGGTACTGGCTGACCTTTGCAAAGCACTTCGGGTAGGTCTACAGTGCAGTAGATAGAAGACCCCTAGTGGGATGACGGGGGCTCAGGCGGCCGGGGCTGTACGATGGCGGTGTAGACGCTTGAGCTGGAGCCCAGGCTCTGAAACCTGGTCGGGGGAGGGTGTCCCAGAGCCTGGGCTCCAGCCCAAGCCCAAAACATCCACACTGCAATTTTGTAGCCCCTTAATCTGAGTTCTGCCAGCCCGAGTTAGCTGATACAGGGCAGATGTGGCTGTGCCACTGGTCTCTTACGGCAGTGTAGACGGACCATTCGAGATCTGCTGATAAAAAGAGCTAGGTATTATCGATAGCACTAGAGTTGATTGAAATAACTTTATTTTTGTAAAAATTATGGGAGGTTTTGGGGTGCGGTTAGAATCAGCATTGGTAATTTCCCAGGAAAAACTAGTTTAGGACAGGGTGCTGGTAAATACTGGCCTAAATCCAGTTTAAACCAGGAAACTGTGGGAAAGAAGTGTCCAGCCAGTTTGGTAAGCATAGAATGAATCTCTTCAAACTTTGGGTACATCCATTGGTAGCTGAGGAAAAGGCTCAGAAAGCTGCTACGAATGCTGGATGGCCAAATGGACCTGGATTGATAGTCTGAAACGCTGCATGTTTCTGATTACTTAATGCTTCTAGTCTACAACTCTGCATTATTGCCATTTTCATACAATCAAATAAATGTTTTTGATTTTTGTTGCTAAAATATTGAAAACTGAAATATGAGTGGACAGGTACAACTTCCTTGAGAAAATACCAAACCGAAGTGTATACGGACATTCTGATGTTCAGTATTATAATTACATATATTAAGCCCACTGCAGTTTTAATTTTTATTTATACAACCCTAAATTAATATACTGACTTATGTAATCACAATTTGAATATGTAACTAAAACTAAATATAAGGTAGTATGCATTAGCGAAACAGTTTTTAAAATAGAAAATGCCTTAAACTGGGACAAACAAGTTTTTCCTGGAGCAGTAAATACCGTGATTTTACCTAGTAAAGTCCACCTCTGGTGAATAGCATCCCATCCCTGGTTGGAATTTTTTTCCCTCTCTCTGAAGGGAAAAAAAGTGAGTCGGGTGGTGGTTGGGACCTAAAAGACACTTTTGCTTTTGTCTTTTTTAATAAATAAAAAAGTTTAGTCAAAGCCACTTGGTTTCCCCCCTCCCAAAAAGGGGGGGGGGCAGCAAACTCTTGGGCAAAAAGTTGTCAACCAGTTTAAATTCATGCCCAGAGAATACTGCATACCCTTGCACCTAGTGAAATCCCAGAAAGGGAGAGAAATATATTCTCCTACTGGAATTAACACCCTGTCCTAGTGTCACGTGGATATCTTTCAGACTATTTGAAGTCTGTAAATCTAGCCCCCCCCTCCCCCCCCCGGCTCCTTTATGAGTAGTGGTTGGAGAAGTGTCTAGTGGGATAATGCTGTTTTGTGAACTACTTACAAGGCTTTTTAAAACTTTGTCATATGTAGAATTAAAGCCACTTTTATACAACTTAAGAAAAGCTTTTTGGTAGGGAGAAGCAGGTTCCACTGGTTTAACTGTTAAGGTTGTGGGGAGTGGTGTTGCACAAAAGTATTGTATCTGTGTATAAAACAATTAAAGGAACAATAGGAAAATTTGCTTGTTGCTCTCATTTAGTGTGCTCCACACTATACTAACACAAAGGAGGATGTGTATGTTCAGTAGTACAATTTTTATAATTCTCAAGCTATTTAGCTGAAGAAGGGGACTCTCCGAGCCCAAACTTTCCAATACATTTGGAGTACAATCTAAGAAAATCATTAAACTTACAAATGTATTTACATCTGCAAAATGCCTTTTAATTGTTACCACCAGAGGGTGAAATATTCTAATATGTGCTATTGATAATGGTCAGTTTTAAATATCTAATGAAATTACATTTAAAGATCAAACAAAATTAAAACAAAATTGTCAATTTAACTCTCAACTTTGCTGTACTTTAGATTAAGTTAATAACTCTTTCTTTCTTTAGTTTTTAGATCCTCTTCAAGAAAATAAATCCACCTGGAAAGAAGAGTGTTCTGAAAGAGCAGATACCACATTAACCAATGTAGGAAGCCATAAATATTGTTTTTGGGGTGTTTAACATTTCATCATGCAGAAAAAGCTTACATTTTGTATTTTTTTTTTTGTAGCTTTCTGTTCAGTGTCATCTAGATTTTACTAGAATGTTACAATTCTAGGACTTTTTCTTAGAATGTCTTGAAGTTCAGTATTAAGTTGACACCAACTTAAAATTCATATTTTGTCTGCAAAAAGAAGAACAGGAGTACTTGTGGCACTTTAGAGACTAACAAATTTATTAGAGCATAAGCTTTCGTGGACTACAGCCCACTTCTTCGGATGCAAAAAAAAAACAAAAACTTTTTTTCTCTTAATTAATTGGCCTCTCAGAGTTGGTAAGACAACTCCCACCTGTTTATGCTCTCTGTATGTGTGTATATATATCTCCTCAATATATGTTCCATTCTATATGCATCCGAAGAAGTGGGCTGTAGTCCACGAAAGCTTATGCTCTAATAAATTTGTTAGTCTCTAAGGTGCCACAAGTACTCCTGTTCTTCTTTTTGCGGATACAGACTAACACGGCTGTTACTCTAAGACGTATTGGAGCATAAGCTTTCGTGG